CCCCCCCTCCCCCGGGGTAAAAGTCTTTAATTCATTTGACGTGCACTCAAAGTATATTGTAGCATTTCCAATCTCAGTAAAAACGTCTGCATCTAGCAATAATATATTGAACTTGTTGTACTCGCTTTAAAAAGAATAAATCTGGGAACTGTTCAATCTGAAAATTCGACGAGGCTCTAAAGACGTGAGGAATGAGTTAATTTAAAACCATCACTAAAATTTCGCTTTCTCTTAATTATTGTCTCAGTACCTAAGACAATAACTAAGAACATATCATTCAAATTACTTTTTCTTATGTTGGCCTAGACAAATTTGGGTATCAAAAAATATTTAATTGCATATGTTATATATGTTGATCTTAACAGCAACTATTTCTGACAATTTATCTACCAGGCACTTTATAAACTTCGGAAAATGGCGTCACCATGACATCGAAACGTCGTTGCTTGTTTTTGTGTTACGAAACCTATACTTATAATAGAAAAATGGACATAGGGTGCGAAATATGCAATGCGCGTGACAGGAGCTGCCCTGGCGCGTGTTCTCCTCCCTCGCGACCAGTCGCGCGCATGTGACTTTTTATGGGATCATGTAAACAAATACAGAGCCACGAGAGGGAACCGGAGAGAACTTACGCCGGTGCGAAAGTGTCTCCGGCCGTATCATAGACGGCTATCATATAGACACTGCCTTAATTTTGAGACACGCCTTTGTAAAGGGAGTTCACAGCCATCTTAGTACTTTTGAGCTCAGTCATGGGCTCTCAAATTCATAACTACTGTGCATTTAACAGTCAGGTTTTACTAGATCTTTAGCGAGAAAGTTCTAAGCAGAGTCGGAGAACTTAAAATGTTTCAACTTTGCGTGTCAGCGCTACTCCGTCGATCTATGACTCCACTTAAGACTCCGGTTTTGTCCGCAATGAAACTAGCCTTTGCACCTGTTTTACTATAGATTATTTATTTAAGTCATAATATTTCAACTAGAACTTTCTAAACCTCTTTTGCAAGAAGTTCAGATGTTTCTTTTAACAGTTTTGTGGAAACATCACGTACTGACGGTGGCAAAGGACCAAAGACTAATTTGTTGTGATAATAACAATCATTCCCTGTTAAACTGCTTTGACTGACGAGTTAAAGAAAATCTTATTTTTTAAGTTGCTATCGACAGAGGAACAATTATAGCTGAATGCATTTGCTACAATACATCAGTTACTATTGAAATTACCAGTAGAAGTGAATTTTCACAATATTGTGCTGTCGGTACTGTTTTATCATTAAGTGCCGACTCGGGGTTCTTTGTTCGTGCGTTGGCTTCTAATTGCATAGGCCTGGAGAAGCATCACCTTGTTAGTTCACAGCCTTTGAGAAACCAACAACAAAAGGACGTCACTCTTTTCAAGCGTGTTTTCTTTTTATTTCCAAGAACTCTTTTTGTCAAACATCCTTTTCATTTTTTTTTTTTTTTGACAAATTGGACGTTATGACATTCATGTGGTTTTAAAAACCAAGAAGCTAGCAATTCCAGAAACAAGATACCTAAAAAAAAAAAAAAGGAACAAAAAAAAAAAGAAAAAAAAACCCTTTTGGATGTTTAAAAACAAAATATTGAAAGAGGGGGAGTAGGTGTTGAAAAATTAAGCCCAAGATAGAG